GTAAAAATATAACAGATTCGGACAAAAATGTAGAGGAACATGATGAAATGGGCGTTGAAGACGAAGAATTGTCAACGATCGAAGACGTATTATAATCAGGTAACCACTGCCCATTCTTCATTCTTGCGACGATGNTGGGATGGCAGGCGTAGCAGTAGGACCATAGTCTGAGCTTTTTTGGAAAGCCTTGAAGAAATGTCTTGATAGGCGGTTCTGAGGAAGAGAGGAAACGATCCCAAGAGGTAAACCAACCCGATGTTATCTGGTCGCATAAGATGCATAAACCGGGTATCTGTATAGAAAATTTCGTAATCTCCTTTGTAATAAAAAAGGCTTGGATTGGGTTGGGTTGTTTGAAAGCGCAGACAACGGTGCAAGCGCTCTACAGAGTAATGGAGTCTACAGAAAATAATAGGGTTGGTGGTTTGGTCTCAAGTGTAGGAGCTGGCGAGATGCTCTGCAGACGGAACCACATCTAATAAAGCTGACAAGGCTGCAAAAGCAGAGGGTAATTAAAATAACCAGCGCCTATAGGACCATCTTTACAGAGGCCCTCCTGGTTATAAGGCAGTCACTACCAATTGACCTGTTAGTTAGAAAGAGATGCCTAGACGCGGAGGAGATGGGATACCGGGAAGGCGAGAGGGACAAAATGAATCATGCCAGACATTGAGCCGTGGATGTTACGAAAGTAGGGGGAAATTAATTACTATTGGACATAGCTACTAAGTGGGCACGGATGTTTTAGGGCTCACCTCTTTAAACATAAAAGAGTAGAAAGCCATACTTTCTTCAAATGTGAAAGATGGTCGGAGAAGAGGGACGAGATCAACAGGAAGATCGACATGCCGTTTACTCCAGAAAACACAATACCTGCAATATTGGAAACCCAGAATAAATGGAACCTAGTAGGAGATATGTAAGGTATGTGCTGGAAAATAAGGAAACGGAAGAAAGAAATCTATTCCAAATTTAGTAGCTGCCAGGTGAAGAAGTGGCAGTCAGGTTAGGCACAAAAATTAAAATTAATGCAAAAAGTAATTTGTTAGAATGATTATCTCATTCCAGTGATTGACAGGCGGAGGAGGAGGAGGAGGAGGACCAAGTCAGGGTGATTCTCAACCTATACGCATAAATTTGGGGATTTATTCCTCATGACAAATAATGAATAAAATTGTAACAAAAGTTTTTTAGTTTCCTAGATATCCATGAAATTTACTTTCAAATCAAGTTGTTTCCAATATTTTCTATACATCATTGGGCTCGCTGTAACCACGATGTCCTACTAGCGCGATCTAAACCGGGGTGTTGGTGGCAGTTCGTATCTGATTTCGCAATCTTTGCTCAGTATTCACTTCCTGAACTGCAATGTTAAATGCGTGTTAACTGTCTGCTAACCTCAGTATCATTTAAGAGGACGGCACCATCTGCATAGCACTCAATCTTGATTTTGTAATCATTAATAGTGTAACCATAGTTTACATTACATACTTTGTAATGTTTAACCTGTTCTAATTCTTTTATCCTTACTTTGTCAAACGGTTTAGTTAGATCAACGAAACAGAGGAAGGCTACTTGACATTTTTTCGCCGGAGTTCTATCTGATTTTTTTGATGCTCTCAACATTGTGTGATTCATTTGTGTAGACAACTCTTGCAATCAGAAGGACGTGAGCAAACGACACACGCAAATGTATGTAAAAATTTTTGTGTTTTGTGCAGAAGATGAAATAAGTATGGTGGTATCAGTTCTAAACAGATGACATAGTTTGGTGTTGCTGTGTAAGATGAGGGGCGCTGTCCAGCCCCTCTTCTAGGTACGTTAAAAATTAACAAGTAGTTAAAAGCTAAATCGATTTTTTATCTTTTGAGCTAACCCGAAGAGGAGAATCCGCGGATAGTAACCCTGGGAAAGAAGGAGTGGAATGGAAGAGGGGCACTGCCCAGCCCCTCTGCTCGGTACGTGAAAATTAACAAATAATTAGAAGCTAAAACGATTTTTGTGTTTTTGAGGTAATCTGAAGATCGGCGAGATTGACTTGAAGAGATCCGTTGAGAAGGGTTTCAACTCCGAAGAAAGCTCGACAGGGTGATTCCGGAGAAAACGAGGAAAAAGGTTTCAACAACCCAAAAAACAAAAAAAGGTTGAGTTGTGCTGGTGTTGGGTTGAGGTTGGATTGGGCTCGGCTGAGATTTGGATTTGAGCTGAGTTTGTACTGGGTTAGCTTTGGTTTTGCTTATTATTATTACTGAGGCTTATTTATTTGTAACTTCTTAACACTTCTTAGTACGCCGTCGCGGATTCAAGTCACCAATCTGATTTTCTGAACTAGGATTGTTTATAGGAACCAACCAAAATGAAGAATGGTATGAATTCCGGTCTTATTTTTGATCATCATCTTTTGCCACTATCTTAGCAAGTAGTTGATTTTATTTTATATTTTCCGGATTTTTAGAGCAAATTCAGTATAAGGCCTGAGGAAGTACATTGCAATTTGCACAAGCCTGCGAGGTTGTTGTTTTATAGTATTCAAATGATGGATGATATATATACAGGGTGTCTCAGCGAGACCGCTCATTAGACGTTTCTGGGGTTCTGGCGAAAATAAAAATTTGAGAATTCAGACTTAAGTATTATCAATTACGATCTCTTCGTCTAAAATATTTTCAGATTTCTTGCACTTCCGGTTATACCGGAAGTCGCCACCAACTTTATTTTTTTAAATGGAACATCCTGTATATTTTTACATATTTGGATTTGTCTGTTTTCAAGGTTTATAAATAACTTTACTTTTTGCAATTTGATTCGGTCGTTCTCGAGTTATTCGAATTTTTCTAGAAAAATCTGCTCCAGCAGACATTTGTTCAAAAAATCAGAAAACACTCAATTTTTGGGATATCAATTTAGGATTGAGAACATGCTTAAGCAACATGATGGAGTATGTTTTGGTGCCGAGAACTGCGGTCTAGAACGTTTGATCACTTTACTATGGCACGTTAACTTTTCAAAATTTGGAAGTACCATAACTTCATTTTTTTAAATGGCACCCCCCATATTTTATTTTTTAGTCGTCTTCGGTGTCTCATTCTACATCTTTTATATCCCATATGGCCCATACCTAATATTAATAGTTTGGGAGATAATTAGGGTTTTTTGAAAAATGCACACATATCATATGGATATTTAGCCTAGTGTGCCATGAAAAACAAGCCTTCTCAATGAGTTCTTGTCAAAGACTCACTTGTTTACGTCACTTGATGCATGTGAGCTAATAATTATCTGTTATGTCCCTTAATATTAGTACTGAAACGAGTTAAAATCGATAACAATAACGAAAGTAATATTTACACAAATCAAGAAATTCTTAATTTATTTTTTTTGCATGAAAAGCGCGACAAAGTTCGTAGTATGATTCCCAGATCTTCTTTGGCAGCTCGAATTGAGGTGTTGGGACTGGGCTCGAAATAAGCCAAGGTATTCACCTCTTCCGTTGCATTATCTACTACATTTTTTGGTCAGTTTAACACGTGATTAATTCGTCCAAAATGCAAAAAATTTGCTTCTATTCCTCTAAATTTACCTTTTGTCATCGGAGATAAATGTGGATAATTTTCATTAAACATTCTGCAAGTTCTACTAAGAACTTTGTCGCACTTTTCGTGCACAAAAAATAAATTATGGATTTCTTCATTTGTATAAACATTATTTACGTTATTAATATCCATTTTAACTGGTTTTAGACTCACAAGCATCAAACAACCTAAATTAGACTTTGACGTTTATCAATAAGTCATTAAACATTTGTTTTCCATGGCACACTAGGTTAATATCCATATGATATGTGAGCATTTTTCAAAAAACCCTAATTATTTCTCAAACTATTAATGTTAGGCATAGGACATATGGAATATAAAAGATGTAAAATGAGACGCCGAAGACGACTAAGTAATAAAATATGGGGGGTGCCATTTAAAAAAATGAAGTTATGGTGCTTCCAAATTTCGAAAAGTTAACGTATCATAGTAAAGTGACCAAACGATCTAGACAGCCGTTCTCGGCACCAAAACATACTCCATCATGTTGTTTAAGCATGTTCTGAATCCTAAATTGATATCTCAAAAATTGAGTGTTCTATGATTTTTTGAACAAATGTCCGCTGGAGCAAATTTTTCTAGAAAAATTCGAATAACTCGAGAATTGCTGGTTCAAATTGCAAAAAGTAAAGTTATTTATAAACCTTCAAAACAGACAAATCCAAATATGTAAAAATATACAGGGTGTTCCATTTAAAAAAATAAAGTAGGTGGCGACTTCCGGTATAACCGGAAGTGCTAGAAATCTGAAAATATTTTAGATGAAGAGAACGTAATTGATAATACTTAAGTCTGCATACTCAAATTTTTTGTTTGGCCAGAACCTCAGAAACGTCTAATGACCGGTCTCGCTGAGACACCCTGTATATATATTCATCAATCTTTCATATCCTCAGTTTAAATATATTAAAAGGAGTATCCAGTAAGTAAAGGATGTTGTAAGAAGTGCAGCGGATGAGAATGAAATTTTATTTTTTTTTCAGATTCCAGACCAGCAAAGATACCACCAAGGGATTTTATAACAGTTTTATCTTTTTGCGCAATTAGGAAGTACAAAAATATCTTAACAGAAAGAAATGATAAATTAATAAATTTATAAGTAGGTAGTTCTTTAAAGATTATGTCCTTACTTACAGTTGCTATATCCTTTAATTCAGTTTCCAGACATCAATTTTATTGATCCAAAGAAATAATTAAAATAATGCAAGGAAGTAAATAAAATTACTCCTATATGATTTATATTTATATGTTTGAAATCTTAAAAGCTCTATTAAATGTTTTTAAATTGAAATGTTTAACAGACTGTTAAAAACTTGAAAAAAATTGTTCCGAAGAATGGGATAAAAAATAATAATAAAAAATAAAATTGAATAAACAAAAAAACGTGCAGAAAAACTTTAATCTCACCTGCAAGGTTTACACCATTGATTTTGTTGGTCCAAACCGTATCGTGCCCTGCACTTCTTCATACTGTTTCCTACAAAAACGCACAAAAATATTTTAGTACTAAAATATTTTTTAATAACATTAATAATGACATGCCATATATGATTAATTAGAAATGTTTAAATTCTACTTTTAATGTTATTAATTTTAAGCAGAAAAAGAAAAAAAAATGTATTGAAAATAAAAATAATTTTATATTTACTCATCATTACGTAACAAACACTTAAAAAACTCGATTAATTTTGATAAGCTAAATGATTTCGATCTTTAAAATCATACAATAACATCAATATCGGAAGTTGTGAAGTGTTTATTAAAAAAATAACTGATATTTTTAATAATCAATACATTTTTGTAAGCATGCTTAAGTATCAAAAAATAACAAGCCGTGTACATCAACAATGTTAGTATAATTAAGTTTAAAAATAAACAAATACATTAAAAGCGTGGATTAAAAAAAACATATTATACAAATTTATAATAAAAATAACACCTAGAGTACCATTTATTGATTTAATTAATTTGAAAACATCCAACTCAAATATGTCCCAAAAAATAAAACGAAAAGCTCTCTAGTTGTTTTTAAAGTAATAATAAACAAATAAATAACTCCCATTTTTGTATAATATGTAATTTGGTAAGGGATGGATACATAATGGATCATAAAGGATTTATCAATGGACGACAACGTGCATACGAATCTTCGAATTCAATTCAACATCAAAAAAATTTTCACTGATTTAAAAATAAAAAACGGCAGCCGGCCGATAAATTAAGAGATAGAGAGAGCGTTTCTTCTTATTCCAAATCGCGTTTTTTTCTTTAATTTTTTTTTAATGGTGGTAGCAAGTCGAAGTTCTGGAGACCACCAAAAAAAATAGAGGAGAGATAGAGAAAGAGAGAAACGAAGAATCGCGAAAAGAAAATGAGGGGAAACTGTGCGGGTTTGATAATTAAAAAAGTAAATAATATACTTTGCGAGCAAATAGATAAAAAAATTGTGTAAATGTAAATGTAATATATATAATAATATCATAATATATATAAGTATATATATTTATATATATATAGAGATAGAGAAATGTGTACGTGTTTTTGGGCGCTACCTCCATCTGCGGGGTCTTGTTTTCGTTTCCTCTTCTTGCCGCGAGTGGCGTTGGCGCGCGAAGACCAATCTGGGTAGAGCTGCATGTGCAGCTGACGTTCGCGTCTGGCTAGTTCATAGTACTTGGCCTGTTCCTCGCGGCCCAAAGCGTGCCACTTGAAAAATAAACAACAAAATGGTTTGGTTCAAGAAAAATTCTTCACCGAAAGTTTTATTTATTTATTTATTTTTTACGAAAATCGACGACATCGAAGACCCGGCAGCGTCTAAAATATGATTTTTTTTTAATATAATTACAGATGCGGCAGGCACCAAGACAAAAGGAGTGATGATAACGCAATTAAATTTTTTTGCCCGCGTCTAAAAAAATTTATTTTATACTCATCTCGATTAATAAATTTTGTTTTTATTAATAAATCATCGGCCGGCCTGCCTAATTAATTAATTAATTAATTAGAAATTAAAAATTTTTTATCCCGCAGAACTGCACACAAACATTATGAATGAGAAATAAAGAGTGAAAAAATAATTAAAAACCAAAAAAATAAATAAAAAAAAAAAGAAAACGTGGAAAGTAAACGGGATGTTTTCGTCGCGTATGCACGTAGTGGTCGCTTATTAATTTATTTTAGAAAAAAAAAATTCGTTAGATTCGCTACCGACTAACCACATACAACACTCTCTTTGTTTCTCTGTATTCAAATTAAAAAAACTAAGGTATCAACCGAATCTATTTTTTGTATTTTAATTATTGTAAAATTAACAAAAAAAAATTGTAAGCAATGATTTTTTTTGAAGTCTCTTTTGGTGGGAGGTTAATAAAATGAGTTAAGTAGTACATAGTTAGTCAAATGCGTATCATTTTTTAGTCACTTTGTTACTTTTACTCATCATCCTTGGTTCTTCATCTCATCAATCATGATCAATTTTTAATCTTTTTAAAATCGAAACCAAAAACGATTGATTGAAAACAAAAAAAAATAATGATTAAGATGATGATGTTGAGTGCGAGCCATGTGTGAGTGAGTTAAATAAAAAAATATAATAGATGTCACCACCGTCGTAAAAAAATATATTTATGACAAGAAGCACAGAGAGTGAGACAAGTAAAATAATTAAACAAAAAAAAATAATAATAAAAAAATAGTAAGTTGAGAGTTGGTTTGTTTGGTTAGGGTGCGCGAGCAAAAATTTTTTTTGAATGAATACCTCCCGACTCGACGGGTGTGCGCTCTTTCTTTCGCTTCTTCTTCTTGGTGCCGTAACCGTAATTGTCTCGAGCGCTCCAGCCTGGGTACAGCTGCATGTGCAGTTGGCGCTCTTGTCTTGCCTTCTCGTAATACTTGGCCTGCTCCTCGCGACTCAGGGAGTGCCACTGCGCAACCATACAGTTATACGCGCCCAAAATAGTTTTTTTTTTCGATTTTTTTAACTTATATTAATCTATTCACGACATGTACTCAAATTTTTCTTTCATACCAATAAAAAAAAGTAATCAACAAGTGTTTATTAATAATCAAAACATTCAAATTAAAAAAACTTCTTTCAATAAGTTTTAAATTAGTTATTACTGCTTTCTTTTTTTACTCATGTTTAGAAGATATAAAACGCTAATAAGAAGAAATCGCGCTTGAGCTAAGATGCTTCGTAAGATTTTTGGCTCTACCTAGGATGAAAGAAGAAGCTGAAGAATCAGGATAAATCACAAGTTGGATAGCATGATGGAGAGAAAATAAGGTGAATATGGGAGATAGAAAGAAAGGCCAACACCCACATAGGATTGTAGAGTCAAAGGAAGAAGAAGAAAATTCTTTTTTTTCCAACCTAAGTCAAAACAGTCAAGAAATAACCAATATTGAAAAGCAAAGAACAAAAAATGTCACTCCGGTTACTCCTAAAGAAGTTGCAGATTCGATCATCACAAGAGAAATCCTCTTCAACGCAGCCCTCAGACTTAAAGATATCCCATCATACTGGAAAGTTGTAGATGTTATCATGTTACCAAAGCCAGGAAAGATGCTATAGATATAATCTTTTGACAAAGTTTGACACAAAGTTCCTGTATCTGCAATAAACTAGTAATATACCAGAGTTGAAAAGACTTCGTATACTACGTTTACAAATAACACAGAACTATTTGTAGGGAGAAAAATCAGGAGTTATCCACTGGGAAAAAAAAAAGAAAAATTTTTTGAATAGTTATTTTTTTCCAACCTAAGTCAAAACAGTAACGAAATAACCAATATTGAAAACCAAACAACAAAAATGTCACTCCAGTTACTCCTAAAGAAGTTGCAGATTAGATCATCACAAGAGAAATCCTCTTCGACGCAGCCGTCAGACTTAAAGATATGATAGATCATCATGATGGAAAGTTGTAGATGTTATCATGTTACCAAAACCAGGAAAACAACTTAACGATGTTTAATCTTAAAGATCAATTTCACTGTTATCAATTATCTCAAAAAACTTCCAGAAAGTACTGCTCAAAAACCATTGATTGGATGTTAGGAGAAAAGAAACTCATCTTGACAATCTTCCTAGATGTCATATAAGCTTTTGATAAAGTTTGACACAAAGTTCCTATATCTGCAATAAACTAGTAACATACCAGAGTTGAAAAGACTTCGTATACTACGTTCGCAAATAACACAGTACTACTTGTAATGGAGAAAAATTAGGAGTTATCCACTGGGAAAAAAAAGAAAAATTTGTTGAATGGTTATTTTTTTCCAACCCAAGTCAAAACAGTCAAGAAATAACCAATATTGAAAACCAAAGAACAAAAAATGTCACTCCGGTTACTCCTAAAGAAGTTGCAGATTAGATCATCATGCTGGAAAGTTGTAGATGTTATCCTGTTACCAAAGCCACGAAAGCAACTTAACGATGTTTATTCTTACAGGCCGATTTCACTGTCATAAATTATCTCGAAACACTTCCAGAAAGTACTGCCCAAAAACCATTGAATGGACGTTAGGCAAAAAGAAACTCAGCTTGACAATCCTCCTAGATGTCATATAAGCTTTTGACAAAGTTTGACACGAAGTTCCTGTATCTGAGTTGAAAAGACTTCGTATACTACGTTTGCAAATAACACAGAACTATTTGTAGTGGAGAAAAATCAGTCAGCAATGCAAAACCGGAATAAACCAAAAAATTTACGATAAAGTTAAAGGAGCTGAAATTCGTTCATATTGATTTTACAAATACACTGCAAAAAGATCCACCGTCGCTAGATAAAAATGGCATAATTGTCCCATATGACCCAAGTATTTAGGAATGACTTTGGACACCAAACTCTGAAAAGAGCATAAAGAAACGAGCGGAATTAGCCATAAAATACACAGCTTTATTGGCTGATTGGAAAAAACTCAATTTCCAGCAAACTACCGATTTACAATTAGATCCTGAAACCAATATGGCGAATGGAATGTATGTATTACGTACACTGCTAAAAAGGGAGTATATACTATATAATAAATTCCAACCATACGTAGAAGAAGTTGTAGGTCGGTACCGAGCCGGTTTCCAAAAGAATAAATCAACAATAGACCATATCATTGCATTACGGTAAATACTGGAAAAGTGTATGGAGTACAATGCAGACACATATCATATATTCGTGAATCTCAGGTGCGCATACGACACCATACTGAGAGACAAATTCGAGGCAATGTCGCAGATCTTGTATATCTTGAGCAAATATATTGTGGCAAAGGCATTACAACGTCGAGTTGTATCTTCTGTATAGAGAACCAGACACAGTTAATTGGATCAAAGTACAAAGGTTAAGAGGCATTGGCCATGTTGCCAAAATGGACATAAAAAGTACCACAAGAATTAGTGTTAGGTTTGATCACGAATTATCCTTGATTACCGTGGACCTGTGGATAGAAGATCGGTTGGGAGGCCGAAGAAATTATTTGTGGACGAAGTGAAGGAGAACCTGAAAAGGCTGAAGGTTGAGGATTGGAGACGACAAGTAGAGGATAGACAAGTTTGGAAGGGCCAAAGTTTACAACGAGCTGTAGAACCAAGCATGATGATGATGACACATCAAGTGTATTCAAATATTACAGCATAAAATGCTATGAAACATATTTAATGGCCCATACTAAGTACGAAATTCCGATATACATAGAGACTTCCGGATTCCAACCATGAGCAGCAGGAAGAGCAGCACGAAGCTAGACTTCACTTTCACGATAACGTGCGAGTTCTTCAACTGCTGCATGAGAAGAAAACCATGTGGTCTTGTATTGCGTATAAAACTAGAGCAAAGTGCGTGAGACTAAAACTAGAAGACATCAATGAATAGAAGCTAGTTGCCAGTGTGTAGATTTAAGTATGCATTACAGCTAGGTGGTACCCAGTTTCGAGATTTCGAAAAAAGAAGAGGTCTCAATGAGAAATCGCGGGAAACTAAATTCACAATGAACCTTAACTAAACACGTCATAAGCAGATAACACTGATTGTAGCTAATGGTGAACGGCTGACAAAACAGATCTTGTGGCCTGTGAAATACTTAACTTAATAGGGCAATGTGTGTCGGATCGTTGGATTTTGCTTGAGTTAATAGATATATTAGACAAAATGTAAGATGTCAATGAAACAAAAGGATTACACAAACACAGCGCTGCAGACCATGCAAAGAAAGGTGTCCAACTGAGATTATGTCAGACTTCACAGTACAACACAAATCCAGAGTAATTAATAAGATAAGATTATATGTCTGACAGCGTGGAGATAGTCGTTTTGTACTTAAGCTGACATTTGCCAATGATCAGTTTTTCATGAATTTTTGATACTTTTGAATTGAGCAGATTTTCTGTCCAACTTAATTTCAAATATATCGTATTTTTAATCGTCTTAATATTCTATAGCAACAAACATCTTTCTTTTTTATTTTTCTAAAAAAGTTTATGTGAAATTTTTGTAAATTTTGGGTTGAGGAGAATTTCTAATCAACATATTTTGATCTGTATCTCTATAACAACAAGTAGTTATAGCTCATGACCACTTTGATTAGTAATAATTTGATTAGTAATAATGATTTGCGACAAACACAAAAGAATATATATTATCTAATTGAAAATCATCACCTTTATTGTGCCTATCAAAACACAACAAAGGTTTGTTTCACTTCTTTGACTATACTCTGTATCGCATAGCTAAATTATGCACAACGTAGAAACCATGAGGTTTCTCCATAGACAACGAATACAGGGAAAGAATTCCTTCATAGTTTTATGGACAGTAAATACATATCTTGGGTGCCTAATACCAGTTAAAAGAAGAAAGTCATTCTTAAAGATCTTTCATGTTCAGCAAAAATATATTATATCTGGCTTAGTATGTAGTAATTATTAGTTGCGATATTTCATCGCCTGGCAGAAAGAAATCGCAGTCTTACGTCGTATGATAAGGTTGAGATGTTTCATCTTTACCGATTTAAAGAATAACGCTGAGGCATTTAATTTTAATAGGATACAATAGTTATTTGTAAGCCAAGATTGCACTTCATTTTTACTTAATGCTGGAATAAAGCCAAATATCTTGTGGTCGAGTTCTTAATTATAGCATCTCGGACACAAATGACCTTGGCTACAATCATTTGCTGACAAGCAAAAATATATCTTCACTGCTTTATCATACAGTTGTTATTTTCTTAATAAACAGAACACGAAAATTTTAGGAACTCTGGCTTCAATGTTTAATGGTGCAGAGTGAAACCATTCTATTTTTTAAAACAAAGAATATGTATATGATTTAATATGAATGCGCGAGCAACTTACACGAATGTTTAAGCCAAGTGTTTCGTAAATTTTATGCAGCATAAAATTTATCGGGGGCAATAGATTTTATGTAACCATATAATAGTTTCTTCATTACTATTGTCATTTCCCATTGATTTATCATTAAAATTCATCTCATCAAATTTATCTTTTATTTCTACATTTTTCAATTAAAATTTATTTATTTGTGGTAATCCTCGGAGTTAGTAATACCTTTTGTATTCAATATCCATCTATTTTTGGTCATTTGCTTTATGGAATTGAATTTTTTTATAACACAGGTATTGATATTTCTGCTTTTTTTATGAATAAGGAAATGATGAATAGATACACAATAATTGAAAAAATTAAACAATACACGTAATTCACACAATATACCTTTAGGTCTTCTATTTAAAAAAAAAAAGTAAAATTGTTAATTAAATTTAAATGCTATATGGGCGATTTCGAATTTGTAGCAGAAGTATTAAGTATATAGCTTGAGAATAGAAGAGATATTTATAATATCATGGGGTATATTTAATCTATCTTAGCAGTAATCCACTGAAGGTGAAAAATGATAACACCTTGGTAGAACGCATCTCGACGCTGTAATAGATAAGTCGACGATTTCTCATCTGAACCAAGAAACTAGAAAACCTAGCGATGAGGAACACTGCTGGCAAGAAAGATTTATCTGATGCTACATCGTGATAATATTAGAGAGAGAATTCTTTAAAATGAGAAAATTACAATTTTGATTGACAGATTTAAGTTAATATATATCAATAGATGTCGCAAATCTACAATTTAACATTAAAAATGTATTTATTTACTTCAGAATCGTCCATAATTATTTTATAGTCAAATTAAACTAAAATAAATTAAATTAATTCTTCAATTAGAAATGTTTTAACAAATAAAAAATAATTTTGATTGATTAATAGTTAAAAGTTGCGTCACTAGATGTCGCGATTTCGAAATCATAACATTTTAATTAATAATTTAATTGTTGTTTTTACCATTACAAGTGATTTAAAATTATTTAGTTCCGAGTAAAAGTTGTTTATTTCAAATGATTTGTTTATAAAAAATGCACAACTAACAGTTCAATCACTTAAAATTGTGCCATTAGATGTCGCGATTAAAAGTACTTTAAAATAAAATTGATTTATTATTTATATATTTACTTTTAGTTAATTTAAACATCAAAAATAAATAAATACCCCAATAAAATAAAGTTAAATTTTTTTGATAAATTAAAAGTTTAATGCGACACAACTAGATGTCGCCCCATTTTTTTTTCAAAATACGATTATAATACGCGGTAATTTCAAAAAATTTTGATCTTAATAAACACTTGTTGATTCAATTTCTTTCTTTTAAAAAAAATCATTCATAAATAACGAATAAAACGTGTTTAATTGTATTTATATTTTTTTGTAATCATAATAACTAATAGATTTTTTTGATGTTGATTTACCTTTCTTCCTAAGATTTGATTGATGGCCGCGCTTTCTTTAAGGGTACATTCCGCGACGACCTTCGCCCTCATTTCTTTCATGTAAAGCATGAACGCGTTTAAAGGTTTTTTGATGTGCGGTTTCTTTTTATCGGCTGCGTTATTTGAGTCCAAATTATTTTTTGAATCCATGTTGTTCTTTTGGTCAGCTTGTGTTCTAAAATCACAAAAAAAAACAAAATAATAAAACACGATTTTAGTTGTTACAATTAAAATTCATTAAACGTAGGTGGATATTAATGGTTTTATTGGCAAGTATGGAATAAATAATGATGATTATTTCCTCAATTTAATTCCTAAATAAATAATAACGATCGAATAAAAATAAATGATCACCGAATGGATGATTTTGAATCCTCTTGACTATTCGTTTCGTTTTTGATTAATTCGAAATTTGATCTCGCCGATGACGGAGGTTTTTTGTTTAATAAATTATTTAAAATACTATTTTTTGTGGGGCTGTTTCTCTCCGTGGGGATCGTGTTGCTGTTTCGTCGATTTGATGGTCTTTCGTATGTTTCTTGCACGTTCTGCGGCTGATGATGTTGCATCGAAGATAGAAACGAATTGACGTAAAGCGCGGCGAGAAATTTTTGTTCGGTGAGGTGATTAAGAACGTTTAAATAAACGTTTTCGGACGGTGTTAAGTTTTTATTCGCCAAATTATCGTAAAAATCGGTCATTTTGTAAACGTCCCGAAATAAATTCGATTTTAAATCGATACTATTCTTTAGCAAGTTATCGGCAAAATCATTTTTGCGATAATTGTCTTTGAAGGATGAGAAGAAAAGTTTCTCGTTGCCATCATCATCATCGTTGCCGCCGTTGATTAAGTAATTCCCGGTGTAATTTTTTTCGTTGTTTATTGGTTTCCGGTTGGGTGATGGTGATGGTGATAAAGGTGGTTCATCTCCATTTTTTTTTATCGATAAATCTTGCGGGATATCTTCGGAGGAATCTTCGTAATGAAGAAGTAATTCGTCGGGTGGTGGTGGTTGTTGTAGCTTCCGGAGGATGATATCGACGTCTTCATTATGATGATGGTGGTCGGTGGCGTTGTTTGTAATCTTGTTTAGATGTTTATCTGATGATGCCATTAAAATAGGTGACACTATTGCGATTGGACATTTTTTTACTGTTAAATTTAACGGTTCATCTGGATTATTTTCCATGTTTACGCGACGAGTTTTAGTTATTCGAGACCCGGATCGTTTGGCATCCGCGCACAAAACCGGAGGAATCGAAACGAAACACGGGGGATTCAACAAGTTTTTTATTCGTCGTTTATCACGGGAAAATCAATATAAATGGCTGTACCCGTCCTTTGTTCGGGTTTAGATAGAAACAGACAGAAGACACGTGGTCCGCATAAATCAGAGATGGCGACGACTTCTCCATCCGCACGGCAAAACCAACCACGGAAAACTAACATTTCCCCATTAAAATGACCGACCCCCTCGTTTCCCATTTCTTTCCACTTTTCCAAAAACATCTTAGCCACAATAACAAGTCCGAAAATAAAGAAATGTATATAATCAAACTACGACTCACGGTTCTTTTAGGTTATGTATTCGCAAACGAGGGGTTCGTTTTAAAATGGGGAAGAAATTGTCACGCGTTCTACGTAGGTGGTAGTCGTTGTTGTTTTATATATTATGGGAAACGTTATTCGAGTTTCCATTTGACGACTATTGATATAATAGTATTGTCAAGCGTCCGCAACACTGATTTGTTTTGTACGCGGTTCGCTTTTGATTAAATACGTCGCGTCTTGCACGCGAATTATTGATGAGGCCGTCGCGTCGACGAGGGGACGACGCTCGGGGCGCCGACGTCCGTCGACAGATGGCGTCTGGCGTCGCGACGCCCACCATTCGACACAGCGAACTACGTCCGTTTCGTATCGCTTTTCACCCTTCCCACGCAGAGGGGGCAAGTTACACTTTATAATATTCATATATATACATTTTTTTTTAATCTATAATCAAATTTTCACTCAATATCTAATTTAGACAACATTTTTTGATTGCCCAAATAAGTACCTATCTATAATCAGTTTAACACGTACTTTTCGCACTTTTCGGATTCCGGTCCGAGAAGCCAAATCGAGTTAATCATATTATATTATTAAAAATCCTAATTATGATTCGTAACAATCATTAAAAAGTTTACATGATGTTTTTTTTTGTAGAAAAAATGGTCCTACGAATTATCTCGTAGTCGGCTTTTGTTAGACAAAGCTCTTCGCAGGAGACTTTTCGCTTAGGTACAACGTTACGTACAAGCGTTAAGCATGTACGTTCTTCAGTGTAAAGTCAGATCTTGAATCGCAAACATTACATATTCGTCGATTTTAAATATTTTTGTGTCTATTTGTTTGCAATAAAATAATAAATATAAACATACTAAAAAATGGTAAGGAAAAGACCACTACTGAAGCTGAACTTGAATATTTTGCTGATCTAAGTTAGTCAGAATCTGACGAATTTTTTATTGGAGATGGTAACAACACTAGTGATTATGTACCTACTGATGATTCCAGTGATAATGAAGTCGTCTCAGATCCTGAAGATGACACAATTTTTGAACAAGATTGCAATAAAGATGCTCCTCATGCAACCACATCAAATACATATATGAGTCGGAATAGATTTCAATTGTTACTACGCTATTTTCATTTAGTTGATAACTCAATACCATCGTCCGACAGACTATACAAGGTGCGACCTATTCTAAATCATTTCAACAATATTATGGGCCAAAACTATGTGCCAAATAAAAACATTTGTATCGACGAATCAATGATGTTATGGCGTGGAAGATTACAATTTCGCCAGTATATAAAACGTAAGAAGCACAGGTACGGCATCAAACTCTATGAACTTTGTGAGCCTGATCTAAATTTTCGATTTCTTCGATCTAAATCTGAAGAATTTACTTACATTTACTTAAGGACTATCTGGACAAAGGATATACAGTCTACATGGATAATTTTTATAACTCTGTTACTCTTTCAAATATACTGACTACACGAAAAACTTATGTGTGTGGAACGCTACGAAATAATAGAAAAGGAAATCCCAAGGATGTTGTAAATCGTAAACTGAAAAAAGGAGAGATATTTTGGCAGCGAAATGGTAATGTTACTGTTTGTAAATGGAAGGACAAGCGAGAAGTTCTTACCATTTCAAACAAGCACGTTGTTGAAATAGTGGCGGTGGCCAATAGAAATAAAAAGATTTCGATGAAACCGAATATAATTCGCAACTACAACAACGGAATGTCTGGCATTGACCGATCAGATCAAATGCTATCATACTACACAGCTCTTCGAAAGACAATTAGGTGGCCAAAAAAAGTTGTATTACATATTATTGAGATATATATACATAATGCACACAACCTTTTTCAAAAAGTAAATTGTTCCACAGTAAAACTAATAAAGTTCAGAGAAGAATTTGTGAAGACATTGATTGGCGAAAATATTCAATCAGCTTCAGCTAAAAAATATAAATTAGGCGACCTTCATTATTTACTAAGTATTCCCGCTACTGCAAAGAAGCAACGACCGACAAACCCTTGTCGAGTTGGTTGTCGTTATTTCTGCCCAGTTTGTGAAGAGAAGCCACCTCTTTGTGTTGAAGATTGTTTTAAAATTTATCACAAACAATAAATATATTCTTTTTCTGTTAACTAATGAATAAACATTGAATGTATATTTTTGGTTCATTTTCAAAAAAATTTCTATTCGTATAAGCCAAACTTGATTGTTTATTTTCTTCCTGGAGGCCTCGCAACTCACTCGTAGCGGCGCAAAAATGGTAAGTCAAAAAACTACGAGATAACTCGTATTGGGCGTCCTGAGTCAGAGCGCTAATACGAGTTATCTCGTGTTGGGCAGTCAACGTGTTAACCTTGCAACTTCCTACAAAAGTATTCGCGAGATTATTTAGCCATGGACATGCAAAAAATTTATTCAAAATGGAGATTTAGATTAAAAACCGAAAATTACTAATACTAATTTTGCCCAACACAAGAATGACGTGATCACATTGTAGAATCCTCTGAAAGCGTGAAAGTAAAATGTCCATAAGTATGGGTGGTACACCACATTGGCATGAGACCTGGGTGAAATTGAGACAAAACAGAAATGTAATAACAAAGACGCAATCTAGATCAAAAAATTACAAGGTTGGTGATGTTTGAAGAAGAACCGTTAAGAAAGAATTCGTGGAAATCAAAGCTATGGCTTCGTTGCGTGCTTGACACCTTTGCGATCTGACAGCATGAAAAAGAATTTCTAGAACGCCTGAACTCGCAACACTTCATGATCAAATTTACTATGGAAACGGAATCTGAAAAATAATTTCCTGGATGTTTTGGTCATTATTAAAACAAATGTGGACATAAAACTGGAACTGTATAAGAAGAAGACACACACCAACAAGTATCTATAGGCTTCGGGCCATCACATCTACAACAGAAGAGGATTTGCGACAAAACGAATTTGAGGAAGGAACGACGCAAGCAGAGGAAGGCCTGGTTTTATCTGCCTCTCTTATGTTTTAGGTGTAAGGTGGGATTATTTTTAACGTATTGTAGACATTCTAGAATATATACATATACTGAAAGTTTGTAGAAAGAAGACACACACCAAGAGCTATCTATAGACTTCGTGCCGTCACCATCCATAACATAAGAGGTCAGTGATCCAAGACTTGTTTTAGCGAGCAGAAAGAATATGCGACAAAAAGAATTTGAAGAAAGGATAACACTCTGAGGGATATCAACCAAAAAACGCAAGCACAAGAAAGACACGGTAAGTACTGCACCAGCATTATCTACCTCTCTTATGTTTCAAGTGTGACAAAGATGAACGATATTATGGCACGATACTATGGTGAGCAAAATTCGGAACGCTCCTCCGATAGCTAACTCTATTACGTTGGCCAAACGGACGTGATATCGAGTACTGCATCAAGGAGTAACATTAATAAGAAAGAAACCGGAATTGTTGTGATGATTTAATGTTAAAAGTAAAGTCTGAAATAAAACTATACGTCTATGATGCACGACATAACAGGTAAGTTTCTAGTTTTAGTTTTATTTGTAATAACACCGACTACAAAAGCCTACGGATTTATAATAAAATGTTTGACTTGTAGAAATCTTAGACAACAATAGTCGATGAAGTGCAAAGAAGACAATTGTAGTGGTACGGCCACATTCAACAAATGAGTAATGAAAGAAGTCTGGTATATGATACTGTTTTACCTGTAAAAGGTGGAAAATCGTTGTTTCGCCAGCTGATGCGTTGGAGAATTTATGGCACTGACAATTCAACTAAGGATTGTTGCAAATAAGGAGCGGGAGTCGGCTATCATGTAGTTTTGGAAAGTATTACGTTGGCTATACTGGAGGTAACATTGAGTGCTGCATCAAGATGTATGGGAGGAATGTCCGACTGAAGAAAATCCAGCAGTGGGCAGTCGAAGTACATTGTCGCTAAAAGTGACACAACATAGATTTCGATAAGACCAAGGTGTTAGTCCGAGCAGTAAGTATTATCAAAGGATGATGAGAGAGGCGATAGCTTTAGCCGCACATGGACAAAAACAACGTAGTTGTCGATGTTTTTGAATTCCTGGAATGATATTGAAACTTATTCGAGACAATGCTTAGGTGTGATTTAGGTTTCTGGCTATCAGAGACAGCATTGAAGAGTATTTGGGGAAAAAGAGGTGAAAAATAGAGGTACCTAACAATCAACACGTGATAGGACAAGAATTAAGTATTAATTAATCAATATATGGCATGTTTCCAACGGCAGCGAGGGTCCTTCTTCTAAAGGAGATTCAGGATTCAACAATGGTGAATGCTGATAGGAACAGAAAATCAAAACGAACCGATCTGGGCGGGACGTGAAAGTTAATCAGTGATGTAAGCGAAGATGAATTATAAATATTGTGAATTATTTTATATAAAAGTATTATATCATTAGCAAGTCCCCGTGGCCGAATCGTAAAAAGTGGAAAGATTGGCACGCCGAATCGTAGTCAGCATAGGTAGTATGAAATTTCCAGCATAAAAAATGAAGGAATTTCTTTTGGACACGCTCTAGTCCTTCCACGAATATATCATATGGTGGATTCCATACAACAGTGCAGTAATTCAAAATGTTAAATCCTATAGATAGTCATAATGAGAACTGTGTATTCACATTGATTTACAAACCAATTCAGGTTTACTTCAAAAGTCCAGAATAGTTTGGAGTTACTACGAATGAACTTAAAATACTTCCAAAATAGGTCAAAATGAAATCCAATCAAAGTGTTGATGAACTCTTATAAAGTCCTTAAAGATAGTTAAGAGTTTGAGTTCTTGATCACCTTAAAGTTTACAGTTCAAGGATGTTGTAGGGTAGCTCGATGATATTTCAGAATCCATAATAATTTCAGAGTAAATGTTATTTAAAAAAATATCCAATAGCACTTCAGAGTTAATTCATAATCCAGAGTAACTCGCAATTATTCTTTATGAACTTAACGAGTCTGCCGTTCCTAAGTATTATTAATTGCTATGTTATATTATCCACGATAACTAATGGATAATAAGGTTGCGAAAACAGGTGGATTTAGAAGCGACCTTTGAAGGGTGGTTGTGGGTAGTTGATTCTACTTGAAACACGCACAGATTATACCACATCTGCTCTTTACCTGGTCGTTGATTTGGCCATAAACTGCAATCGGTGCGTATTCATTGAGGGACACTTATCTTTGACGAACCATAACTAATAATATCGGATATATAGAATATAGATTTTCGTTCCATACCAATAATCCATAAACCTTGCACTAGTTTACTGACCCTGAGTGGGCGACGGTCGGCGCGGAAGTTTAAAAAGACCTGCTGGGGATTAGGTACTGTGTTTATCCACCCTCATATGCAGGTACAAACAAAATTTAATACAAAGTTATCCCTACAACAACACTTTACTTTACATCACAAGGGGGTTCTATATTCAATCTTATATAACCTTATATAATAATCGAGAAAGGAAAACTACTCATTCTGTTAATATTTTGCAAACCTTATTTAATTTTGAATAATTTAAAATTGAATTTATCAATTTTACCGCCAACACTTAGTTTAACCAAAATGGCCAATTTTCAAATCCGCCAACCACAAAAAAATAAAAATTACTAAAAAAATATTGTTTGCTTAAAATGTTTTAACCACAATTTCCATTAATTACTTATTTTAATTCGTTATATTAAAGTTCAAGTAAAGGTTTGATAAACAAATTCAATTTTACATAAGAATTATTTTAAATATATAAAATTGATTTTTGACATTTGAGGTTATGTTATTATTGTGACAATTGTGACTTATCAAACGATTGTATTACGTTGGATTTGATTCAGTTAATTTTTTAGAGTAAATAGGTTTTATTAGTTATTATTATACTAAAAACTGCATAATATTTCCTTTGTGTTGTAATAAACGTAAGTAAAAGCTTTGTCTTTAAAAATATAACTTAAAATTAGCCACTGAATTTATAAAAATTGACATTTGCTTTCATTTTGAAGGATAAATGTCAAATCTGACACTTTAAAACTTTAAACTGACATTTTTTAATACTTATCAAATTAATGTTACTTTTAATTTGTCCTATTTGCAGATTAGCCCTTTTAAAAATATATTTGGTATCATAGCTAGTAAGGATGCGGATAAGGTAATCTTCATCTATATTATTCTATATGTTTTGATCACTAAATTCATTTTGATTATTTTTATTTTAGGGTACGTATTAAATTTTATAAGCTTCAAGTATAATAATAAGTAGAACAACAGAAATATGCTATAAGCTATTAAAGCGATAAATTAATCCTGGAATGCTGTTAGTTACAAACAATTAAACATCATTTTAACGTGGTGTATATAACCAGCATCCGCAGAATGGAGTATTATTAGATACAGTATACTTTTGAAGATTATGATAATAACATGAGAACACAGTGATGATAACAAAGATCATCGCTAGCAAGTTATTACCATCTTAGACTACCTAAATGAGCAATTTGAGAATTAATTGGAAAATATTTCTTCTGGAATTTTTTAAGATTATTTTCCTATTTTAATAGGAAAAGATGTATCTTTACTTAAGACTTGATTCTCTTTATACAAGAAAAATCTCCAACTATTAATCACTTCCTGCTTCCGTTCGATTTTAATTTTCAGTAAACAATTCCTTTCTGAGAGCGCATCCCCAAGATCTCTTCCACTTTCGCATTTTTCTTTTCTCTCAGCATTCAGCATTCCCTTTTCATTTTTTTTTCCAGTACCTTCATCGTTTACGGGAGCCACTCGAACTCTAACTACCTCCCTGTACTGCCGCCCCCACCTCCTGTTTTATCTGGATGGGGTGGTTTCAGGCGGGTGGTGGCTTTGTAATCGTTAGCCTTTTGCAGAGCCGCGCACATTACGCTAGTAATCCCGAGCCGTCTTCGCGCAAATTGACTCGTCACCGTCATGATACTCCTCCTTTTACTACTTCGTCGTCGTTGTCGTGGTGTGTACAACGGCGTTTCTCCCTAATTGCAAATTGCGGCAGCAACGCGACGTTGAGGTTCGTGCCGCATCTACTAATCGATAGGCGCGCCCCGCACGCACACACGCACAACCCCTCTTTCTCTTCTCTCTCAACACACACAACTACCACCAGCCAACCATAATTAACGGCTTTTACTACCTGTATGTATGTATATGTTTGCATGTCAACTAGTCATTTGAATTTAAGAAGAAATGGAAAGTAATGTTTTTATAAAAAAAATTTAAATGATTTTGATTAGATTCGGGGAAGTTTTAGATTTGGAATAAGATTTTTTGTTGAAGAAATTTCTTCTTTTTTTTGTGGGAGGGTGAGAAAACGGAGAGAGGAAAAGGATGGATTGGGGTTGGAGATGGAAGGGGGAGGAGGTTTGCGTAGGTGGTGTGTGTGCAGGGCGTTCTCCCCCGTAATCGCATGAAATCCGGCCATGCGAGGAATGAGGTCCAAGATTGGTTACCGAACGGCCCGGCCATTGGTTAAACTGGGCTCCGAACGTTGCCTGGCAACGACGCTGCCGCGTCGGCAGCGACAGCATCTCGTTTCCGACGCCCCCGACGCCGCGGGGAGGCGCCCCCGGTCTCTTCTTGTTTGATTTTCATTTGCACCGTGTGTACACACCACGGTCGCTCCTCTCACATCACAGCGAACGTTCCATTTGTTTTCCTTCGAGGAGAAGAGATATTTCCCGAAGGTGCCAAAGAGAACCAACCCGAAATGGAAAATTTGGAAATGTTAGATTTTTTTTTCAATTTTTACCTTTGATATCTATGGTTAAGATCGGGTAATTCTTGTTTAGGCCCTGGCGTAACGATGGCGGGATGAGATGGTAGAGGTCCGTGAGGTGAAAGTCCAGGATGGGGTGGTATCAGTCCGGTTGGAGAAAACCTGTAGAAATCTCCAGGTAGACTGGAAGTCGAGATCGGCAACGTGCTCGGGTAGGGACTCCTGAAGCCGGCGCCCGGCGAAAGGGGGTACATCGTCGGCGTGTGCCTAAAACATAAATAACATTAATATTTGGAATTTGAATATTCCAAGGTCAAGTTATAATTGTACCCCATCGGCCACAATTATAACTTGATTAAAACGAACCCATTTAGATTTCGGATATACGAGACAATTAAATTTAGCAATAAATTAATTGGGGATTGGACTTACCAAGAGGCCGCCACCTGCGACATATCCGGACTGAGCATCGGATAGGGGTACTGCCCCGCGCTGAATGGGTACATCGGCGGTCTGCTGAGCCCTGAAACGCAATACATAATCCGGTTACTCAACGTTCGGTTGCACAATGGTCTCTATTGGCATATTTAATCGTTGCACTTCTGTGAATATAAATGGATAGAGATCGTCTTTCTCGTCTAAAAGGGGTATTTAATGGGCTATTGATGAAAAAAAAAAGAGGGAGATAAGATTCTAGATAATCCTTTTTAAAACTTTTTCAAAGAATGATCACATTTATTACTTTAAATTTTAATCCTTTATTCTAACTAAATTCAAATAGCTTTTTAAAATATAATATATGAATACTGTAACCATAGTTAAGAAACTACTATGTACTTGCACTGTCCCACATAAAATGAAACAGAGCTTAATAGTACAGGCATTGGGTAGTTTTGCAAAGGAAAAGTTTTGCTTGGAAAAAGGTTATGATAACCCTGAGTTCTTGGCCGTCTTAAGAGACGCACGGCTAAATTCGAATATCTCTGGTTCTAGGTCTAGTGTTAGTTCTACTTTTCGTTCAATAAAAACGCTAAATAACAATTAAAACTAGAACTAACACTAGACTTAAAACTAGAAACATTCGGATTCAGCCGCACGTCTTTTAAGACGGCTACCACTGTCATGTTACATTTTATGTGGGACAAAGTAAGTAGTTATGCTATGGTTTCTTTGGAACTATAGTTTTGTATATTGCATCTTAAATGAAATTCACTGTGAATCAAAATTTGCAAAAATTGGCATTATTTATTAATTATGTTTCTAGCAATTCTCTTTGGAATTCTTCAACAAGCATTTATATCTATTAGTGTCTTCTATTTTTAATTATGATGGTGTACTTTATAACCGAAGCTAATGATAAGAAAACTGATAAGGGTAATGTTCCATTTTCAATGTTTGCATGTAAGTCATTATTAAATAAAGTAAATGAAAATCAAGTTCATCAAAGCAAAAGTTTGCTTATTACACACTGTAAATCAGCCAACTGAAAAACGTTGCGGAAACAACTAAAGAGGTTAACAGATTGGGAACGTGTTTTTGAAGCCATAAAGATTTTTCTAAGCACAAATGTAAAGAGTTTACGAAGCAAAGAATAATTAAAAGAAAATAAAGTCAACATTGAAATGTCTTAAATACTAAAAGTAAGGAAAAATTTGTAAGATATATGCAGAATTCGTTAAAACCAACAAGAAAAAAAAAAGCATTATAATAAGACGACGTTCAATGTGTTGCCTAATAACAAGAAGCTATTACGTCACTATGGTGGCCAAAACCACAATAAATTTGCTTCCAGACTGCATCCATGAGCTACCCAGAATATTTCGATAGAAATCGAAGACCAGAATTTTTCTAGAAAGTATTCGCACTCCAAATGGCTAGTATTATAAATTTCTAGATAGTTGTCTATTCTACAGTTCAGATGTGGTATCTTTGATAATGGGGTAATTATTAACAGGAATTCTGTGTACATTTCTATTTGTAATGATAACTTTACGTTGTTGAGCTGCAGTTGATTCTTCCCAGTGCTAAAAGATTACCATACCATTCCTTAATTAGCTGTTGTGCTACACTTTTCATTATTTCTGACATAACAATTTCTGAAACATTTCGATCATGGTTTTAACTTTATTGACTGATTGAATCTTGTCTCTAACTCTTGACTCTTGGAGTACTACCAAATGATTAGACTCATATGCAAGATTTGTCCATGCATAATCATTTTGATAAGGTAAAATTAAGAAAGTGCGAATAAAATTACTGTATTTCTCTACTATAAAGCGATTTGATCTAAGAGTGCTCAATCTCCTACCTAACGAAGATGAAAAGAATACACACTTATTCTTCTAGCAATACAACTTAGGTTTTTTTTCCAAACCTACACAATTTTGAGATAGTGTCTGAAACTTTCCAGTGTGGAGCGACTACAAAAATTCCTGTAAGGCTAAAGTAGCAATCTTGATATAACGATAACAATAATAATTCCTTTATTAAAGCCATCATATTTCAAACAACTTGGAAGATATGTTTTGAATTTGTTGGAACCCAAATAAGTGACGATATTTGTTGGATGCCCTTGATGCGTGGGATATGCTTTACATGTAGATGAGGTTCACAAATAGGTTCGAAACCCAAAATATATGTCCTTTTAGATATAACTACAACTGCATTAGAATACTTATGGCTATGGCTGATTTGACCAAAGGCCAAATATTTATAGTACAAGAAGCAATTCTGAAAATTAACTGGTTGAGAAACATAACTGAGCATACTTAAATAAGCTAGGAACACTATATGGCAAAATGAATTCCTCAAGGTCTTAGATAACGTGATTTATAAAATCTGGAACTATTCATGCAGTCAATCAAAAAGAAGTTGAACATAATCGAATGATTCATAGTCTTCTTCGTCTATTTAGGTCTTTAGGCCTGTAATTTCCAACTTATCAGTTGTCTTGAGATATTAATGTCCATGTATTTGTCCATCTCTTTGCGGGCATTCTCCCCACTTTATCATTCCAAGCTCTTCTACGTTGATGTTTCGATCTGATTATGTCTTCCACCTCATATTCATGTCATATATCTGTGTTTCTTATTCTATGTCTTAGTGTGTACCCTGAAATGTATCTGAGTATCTTAATTTCTGTTATATGCTCTTGTTTCTACAGCGTATATTAGTACGAGTCTAACACAGGTATTGTAGTATTATAGGTGTTGTTCCAGATGACGTCACTGATATTCTTGGCTTCGTTTGCTTGGTCTTTTACTTCCTTTATTCTAATTTTATATGAATTGATTTATATGCCTAGATAGATATCATGTCAAATGACATGAGCAAGTTATATTGGTTTGTTTTCCAGAGCAAGTTTTCATCTCACTTGATTTTTAGATACAACGAGGAGTTTGGTTTTTGTGGCGGATACTTGCATGTTGAAGGCTTTAGATTTTACATAGAATAGAGCTTCGTTCCTGCTACGATCACATCGTCATTCGCATAGCCTCCTTCTATGTCTCTGATATGGTTTATTATCTCATCTATTATCAAAGTGAATAATAACTTGAATATCAAAAGATATGTGATATACGGGAATGAAATATCATTAAATTTTAAATCCTCCTTTCCAATATCTTGTACACCCCATTCACCCCTCTTGATACAAAAGAACGGAAAGCACAGAGACGTTAATCTTTCGAAATGAACAACCTGTCATCATTATTTCCAAAGATACAACAATGAGGGAAAAAAAATGCAACGCAACCGAACGAGGACGGCGATGACAACGAGGAGTGAAGTTGATAATCCGAACGTTCGATAACCCCTAAATAATTCCCCGTACACCGCCGCCACCCTTCAACTCTCTGTTTGTAATCCTCGTGTTCGTGGGTCGTCGTTCCATTTACAAATTGCTATATTAAATATTTCTGGTGGATCCCCAAGTTCCATATCCGAGCTCTATTATATGAAACGCACAGTGCGCTGGGACCCGTATAAATACGGGGACGTTCGGATCAACAAGTCCTATTGTTGGGCGTCATCCCATGCGGCTGACATTGTATTCGGGGTTCCCGTCGACTTCCGCCCCTCTGTGGAGACCAGTATATCACTTCTCTGGGGATGTCAGTTCGATGACAATATTAGAAAATAAAAAAAAAATCAAACGGAATAAAAAAAGTGATATTGATTTTGTTTTATTAGTATTTATTAAGCAATAAAGTCTTTTATTAACGAGAAAGCTCTTTTATGGTAACTTATAAGATAAAAGAGTGAAGATTCCTATTAAATATGAAACGTTCGACGTGAATTTATATAGTTACAGCGTTGGTCCAATTAGCACGTCGTCACTCGTTTGCGGCGCGACGCGACCGCTGACGGGCGTCGGGACGCGACGCGACCACCTCTAATTGCCGAAACGGGCGCACCCGACGCCGCCGGTCACGTGCCAAAACCGACGCCGACGCCCCGACGCCGCTCGACCGACCTTATTAACAACACAGACCGAAATAAATCTCCTGCAATCGTTAAAGAACATTTCTTTTTACATCCCTAATGATGATAGAGCACCGTCATTAAATACTCCACATTTTTTAGTATTTTAATTACTATTTTTGGATGTAAATCATTTTTTAAAAGCTGTTAAGATCAAAATAGATACCATTTTATTCTTGCGTAAACCGGGCCTCTCAGGCCCTTTGAGATTTTAGTTACTCCTAATTTTCTTAAAATAATTTCAATCGGCTTGAGCATTTAGATATGCTCTAAACACGTCTTTAGTCAATACACACTTGATTAAAAAACATTCAAGTGTAATTAGCAATCGAAAAAAAATCGTTTCATTAGCACCCCGTATTTGCATAAACCGGACCTCCGAAGCCTGTGTACTAGCAGTTACTATAGAAGAAGTTTCAACTTGCTCATTACAGGTTGAGGGTTGTTATAATTTGTCAAAGACTGCTGCGCGGAATTGTGCGTCCTGTGCAAGTTAAAACGTGCATTACTGTTGGATGTATAAAAGACAAATAATAAAACAGCTGCACCTAGCTGTTTTTCATTCAGTTGGAATAGAAGTTGGATTAAGTGAACTTCTGAGATACATATGATAATGGCGTCAAAAAGGAATGTGAAAAGCGTGAGATTTGGTGACCCCGGTTATGAAGAAATATTGGTGCAGTGGGCAGCTGAATGTGATGATCTGCCTTCTGAAGAAAGTGATGTGTCAGAAGCAGAAAATAATGACACAGAAGATAGAAATTTCGAATTGGTTCCTGACGAGTATTCTGGATCCAGTTCTGATCATGGTGATGATAATTCAGAGGATGATGTTGATGATTACATGATGCGGTTACATTGCTCCAAGTGGTCTGGTATGGAGTTTGGAACCTCCAGCAAAAAATAAAATTCAACCACACAACATTATTCGGCGTGCGCCAGGACTAGCAAGGAAACATATGGCTGCAACACCAAAAGAAGCGTTTCAGTTATTTGTAACTCCAGTTATTGTACAAGAAATTGTGAACTGTACTAATTTAG